GATATAGCAAAATTATCAAGCCACTCAACTTTAGAAGATGGTGGTCTGTATGCATAACACAATAATAATGATTTACATTTAGGCTGTTTAAGTTCAAGCCAAATGGATTCAATAGAAATACTTTCTAAATCAGATCTATGTACACAAGATAAACAGTCTCTAACATAAATAATTAAACCGCCTCCATTGGAAGGCCTGTCCTTGCGAAAAAGTGTAAAATTGTCCAACTGTAGTTCATTGTCTAGAAAATTTACATTTAGAAATGTTTCACATAAACAGAGTATATCAATCTTTTGTTCTGAAATTATAATTTTAAGTTCGTCCAATTTTGGGTACAAATAGTGAATGTTTAGATGTAGTATGTTCAACCCTTTATGCGTGTACCAAGAGTTACTATTCTTATTGGAGTCATAGTTTAAAGTATTGTCATTTACAATTTCATTAATCAAATTAAAATTGGTTTCTCAATATTGAAATGAATTACTTTTACAATTATTTAACGACGGCGATCCCAAGAATTCTGATTCCTCAGCCATGAAGTTGGTACTGGCATGTAGACCATGTTCTCGTCTCTCCTCCCTGTAAACCTCCCTTTCTGAAAATGAGACTTGTTGTCCATTTTGTTACTGCTATGGTCATCAGATGGCATCGTAGATATGCCTAGGACATAGTTTATAGCCTTCCTCATGGTTGTTCCAAACAGTTTTCCACCCTTTCTATTTAGATGTAAATAGTCTTTATACAACGACTTGTCTGGAGTACCATGCAGGATAAAGTCAGAGTTATGGTTGATATAGTGGTGACCACCATCTGCACACAGATCTCTAAACCTGTTGTTGGTTTCAGATATAATGGTGTTGACAAGTTTGTCATTTCTTCTAGGTAGAATTGAAGAAATGATTATTTTACATTTTGAGTTGATGGTTTTTACAGTGTGTATTGTATCCTTCAGCTCATCAACTATGTACTGGCTGGAATCTGCATCAGATATATTATTTGTGCCTACATGAAGTAATATTTAATCTTTATCCTTTATTCCATTTGAATCTGTATCATTCATTGATATGAAGGTATTTTCAATTGTGCGTATTCTTCCACCAGAGTGAGTCTTGATGTTAACTTTCACATTAAAGTCTGACATTCTGTTCGCACTCAGGATACCTGTCATTGAATCACCTGCTATAAATGCAGAGTATTTAGATTTTGAATTTTGATTTTCTGTTGGCCGAGTGTTATTTTCAGGCTTTTTTGTGTTAATTTGTATGACTTTCTCAAAATTATCCTGTTTATGTGGCTCAGGCGAGATCGTTTTTTTCAGCAGAAGTCTGTATTACCGATCTACCAATTTGCTGTTTTACTTCATACATTTCTTTCAACAGTTCATCTCTCAAGTCTTTTATGTCTTTCGCTACTTTCTTTCCTACACACTCAGTCACACTTTCAATTTTCGATTCGATACTGTCTGCTTTCATTGTAGACTTGGCTAATCGATCGGCTAGTTGTGTTTTCTCTTTTGACAGGGTAACATTTTGCTTTTTTAATTTTTCATTTGATTCTTCAAGTATAAGACATTCAGCTGTAGCTTTGCTCAGATTATGTTTCAGTTTTGATAGCTCACTTTCAACTTTTTCACACTTGTCACTTTGTTCAATGACTTTCATGCGTAGAATTTCATTTTCACGTTTTGTATTTTCTAGTACATTGAGCAATTTTTCATTTTCACCTTTTAGAATTTTGGATTGAGACAGAAACTGTTTTAATGTGTTTTGAAGGTCTTTGTTTTCTTTCATTTGCTTTTTAAACTCTTCATTGCTGTTATCTGTAGTATCTTTGTTAACTAATGGACACATGAATGGTTCACTTTCATCAATATCAACAATACCCTTTACAGACCTATCAGTACTGATGGAAACAGACAGATTGTCACACCTAATTACGTCTTCATTCACTAAAGGTTCATTTATACCAGACTCAAATCCTTCTTTCACAAAAGTTTCATCACTATTTGCATTATTTTCAATCTGAACAATCTTTACTTGCTCACTTTTTGATGATTTTTCAGCTACTGGCTGTTTGACAAAGGTTTGCTCATTGTTGTTGTTATTGAAAAGTGTTGCACTACCTCCCTTTAAATAAGATGCGCTTCTTTGATTACTTGGTCTAATTGGTATCCTGGACTACGCAAGAGATTTACCATGCTAGAGAGATACTGCAAAGGACTTTTGGATGTTCTACTACTGACTGGAGAACTATCATTTTGGTTTACTTGGTTTGAAGATTGCAGATTGTCTGGAATGGTCACACTCAAGTTATCTAATATTGTTTTAAAAATTGTGTTCTTCCACTTCCAACATCCTTTCCCTTGAATGAATATTGTTTTATTTTCATAAATTGTGACAACAGTTTTCTTTTCATTTTCAGATATGTGAGTTTCAATACCATTTGTGTTTTTGTTTATTTCAAAAGAGTACTTTTTACATAGATAATCCTTTATTTCTTCATATGTTTCCTGTGTAAAAATTGTAACTGTGATGGCATCAGTTTTAAGTGATAATTTTGTGTTATATAATACACCTTAATTTCTATCATTAAAATCGATAGTTTCTTCCATTTTTACATTTTACACGACACACAAAAGACGGTACCATACGCGAAACTATTAGCGGTTTTCAACCGTTACTGTTTGTACTTAAGTTTAGTTGGCGTACCTTCAGGTTTATTCTAATCAAGTATACCGCTGTACAAATTGATGAGCGTCTATATATCATGCTCGTAATTGTCTGCACAAGGTCATTCTCATTTCTTACAATTTAGACGTGTATTTCAAAAATAAAAACCATAGTTAATTTCCTTTAATGTTATTTCACTATTGTGCAAAGTTATTTTATAATCAATCACGTGTATCCATATAAATTTTGTAAAAATAATTCGGCGAGTGCCGCGGATGTTTACATGCTGTGCTCGATTTACTACCAATATATGTCGAGGGAAGGACTTACTTACTCGTGGGAAGGAGGTAGCTATGTGTGGAGGGAACGAGTAAGCTATATGTCCAGGTAACGAGTAATCTATAGACCTATTTACAATACGATTCTTCCATAGCAACCGATGTTGCATTTCGCGCATGCGCATTCTGCGTAGGGCAAAAGCGCAGTTAAATTGAGAACAGTGTATGATACTTTAAGGCTTTTATAGTCGTGATTCCATGTTATGTCAACCAGAAAACAGTAATTTTTGGATGACTTAAAGCGGTAAGTACTTAAAACGTTAATTGGTATTTATAACAGATATGATAAATATGCGGGACTAATAATCCAATGGTCAAAAAGCGCACACAAAAGTCGTCTATTTTAGGTATCATTAGACGACTTTTTCATCTGTTATTAAAATTTAAACAGCAGCGTGTTAAATATTAAATTTATTACCCCTGTATTACATAATATTACACAATGTGTAGTATACGCTTCCTTTTGGATTGGCCAGGCGGTAAGTGTCAAACAGATTGACACGCGACACGGTTGTTTGTTTCCAGCTATAATATCATTCAACCGGAACGTTTACCATGACATAGTTGATCACGTATAATTATGAAAATCGTAATTTAAGTAACTTTTATATATACCGATCTCATCAATGTTTATTGATTTTGAGAAGTGACAATTAGTGTGACTTGCATTAAAAATATAAACAGGTGTTACGAGGAACAGGAAAAATTGTGTGTTATTTCACTTTCCTTAAAGATTTTGAAAAAAAAATTAACAAACGTTATTTAAATTATATTTATGTGACTTAAAAATTATCTGCTTCGCATTACAGTCAAATAAAGGATAAAATAAAGCAAACTGAACACTAAAAATGCATTATCACCGTGATTGTTCTGACTTTTTTCAGATTGATAACTAACCTCGATTTCATCAGTTATAAAATTTCTTTATCTTTTTGTGAATTATTTCAACAACAATTTAGTTGAATCCCATTTGAATAATAGATATAATACCACATTTTCTTAAAAAAATCTCAATGTCAGGTCCGTGAACTTAAGGGGAAATTCTTAAACAATTTCCTTTTCCATGCCTTTGTATCGGAATCTTGGCCACAAAGCTATAAAGGAATCTTTTCTATATTTGTTAAAAGCTAATTTATATAATTTTGTACCTTTTACCTTAAACTAACTCGGAATTGTCTATGAACTTCTTCTATATTTCTATATTATTCTATGCCCCTTTTGCCCTACGCAGATTGCACATGCGCGGGAAAATACTACTTCCAATCGATTTTTCATAGCAACGGACCGCGTCGTAGAAAGGCCTATATGTCGAGGGTACGAGTTAGCTATAAGTCGAGGGAACGAGTTAGCAATATGTCTTGAAAACGAGTGAGCAATATGTCGGGGGAACGTGTTGGCAATATGTCGTGGAAACGAGTTAGCTATATGTCGAGGGAACATGTTAGCTAAATGTCGTGGGTATGAGTTAGCTATAAGTCGAGGGAACAAGTTAGCAATATGTCTTGAAAACTATTTATCAATATGTCGAGGGAACGAGTTAGCAATATATCCTGGAAACGAGTTAGCTATATGTCGTGGAAACGAGTTAGCTATATGTCGTGGGTACGAGTTAGCTATAAGTCTAGGGAACAAGTTAGCAATATATCGTGGAAACGAGTTAGCTATATATCATGGACACGAGTTAGCTATAACTATAAAAAGCCAATTTACCCTTCAAATTCATATGATAAACAAACATTTTCTATCCCAGTAACTAAGAAATATAAACACAAATTTTCTATCCCATTAACGAAGAAATATAAGCACAAATTTTCTATCCCAATAACTAAGAAACACACTTCTTGAAGGATATATTACTGACCTTGAATACAAGGCTCCGCTTAAACTTATTCATATCATTGTAATTTGTTTATTATCATTGGTTTTGCAATGGCGCTGCTCATATATTTTATACATTTAGGATATAAACAATGTCTGTTAACCTTTCTTTCAGATTGTGGCAATCCAACGACGGAAAATGGAATCACGTCGTTTGACAATACAACATACGGGTCACTTGCAAACATCTCTTGCGATCAAGGATATACACTTATAGACGAAAACAATTTCACAATTTACTGCCAGGATGACGGGCAATGGTCTTCTGCTCCAGTTTGTGTACAAGGTAATAATAATAATAATAATAATAATAATAATTAAATATAATAATAATAATAATAATAATAATAATAAATTATATGCAACTTTTCAGAACATTCGCTCAAGAATAATTATTTTTATTGTTAAAAATGACCTGAAAATGAACGTTTTTAAAAGTTTTCAAATCCAATTATCAATCGCTCTTAAATTTAAGTTTCAACATATTTGTTAATCATATTTTTTATGTTTCCCCGTTTCAAATGATTTTTAAATTTTGTGGATTTAGGCATTTTGACATCAGTTTGGATCCTTTAAAGTTATGATGTAGAGTGAATCAGCCAAATCAGTGCATACACGTTTTAATATGGCATTATATAATTCCAATAGGTTGTGACAATCCGCAAATAAAAAGTCAACTTAGCTATGAAGAAAGGACCTACCTGTCAAACATATCGCTTGTATGTCTTACCGACGGGTATATTCTACATGGTACTCCGTATATCATATGTCAAACAAATGGGTCTTGGACAAAAGAGCCACAGTGTTACGCAATAGGTATCTATCAGTTTTATCAGTAATATATATGTTAGATAATCAAGTGCTTTTGTTTTGTTTATGATTTTAGTTCGTCTATTCGAAAGAAAAGTCGATGGATTATAATCTAAAATAAAACGTATTTACACAAGTCCGTAAAAGAGCACTAGGTTTAAATCCATAAATTATACCTTGGATGAGCAGAACTTTATCGACGGCGAAAGACAAAAGATTGAGATCATTGGATCATCGACTTCCGACGTCCTGCACTGATTTTTTTTTCCCTTTC